CCCAGAGTGGCTTACAGCTGCATGGGGCTCACTTGGAAAAGGTACCATATGATCCGGAAAAAAGCTCTGGAACAATAACAATTTGTATCAAAGTTCAAGAAAAATAAATATAAAACTTCCTATCCCTTTTGGATGCAAAATTAAAGTTCTCCATGCCCTGCAAGACACTGCAGGTTCTCTGATCCAGTAATTCACATTTACCTTACTATTATTCCTAAACTTGTGGCATCTGATAAATCATTTGCTGAAAACTTTAAAAATTTTGAGAAAACATCTGCAGTTTCTGGAAGCAAGAGGGTTTCCTACACCAGTACTTGGCTCTTAGTGCTGTTTTTCTAGTAGTAATTCCTATTGCTGTTGACATGTAAGACACTAGAAACCCAGCAAAACATTTTGGAAAAACTTCCATTAATAGAGGATAAGTCCTAGCCACTTTGTGTACGAATATCAGTTAGATCTGACAACATGATTTAAATGTGGTTAAAAAGTCCACATTTAAAGTGTTGATTTCATTATCAAGGAAAGCTCAGGGGGTAATTTATGGACAGACCTGCAGCTGGGGAGTCCAGTACAGTCATGTTGTGATCACTACTTATGAAGTTTTCTCAAAAAGTCCACATTTAAAGTTCAGTGACCTTCACACAGTATCACAATATCACAGTATGCTTTGGATTATCAAGCCGGAAAGGAACACCTCACAGGAATGTGTCCAGGTTTATGGAAGGAGACTCTCCCTGCAGCCTGTTCCAGTGTTCCATCACCCTCACTGAGAAGAAGTTTCTTAAGTTTAAGTGGAGTCATGTGTTCAAATTACCCCTTGTCCTATCATTGTTTGCCAACCTGGCTCCATCCTCGCCAATATATTTATATACACTAATAAGGTCACCCCTCAGTCACTGCTATGAAGTTTTCTCAAGGTCTGGACTCTCTCCAAGTTGTCCTTCTTGAACTGAAGCTCACCAATATTCCCTTGACCAGCCAATGTTCAGTGACCTTCATTTCTAATAAAACTGAACTACTGGTAGGGTGGATTCATATCAACTCATTTCTGATGAAGCATCCCTGCTACACCTGGGTCCACAGTACCCAGAAGAATGACTCAACAAAAACAGTAAGGTCTCTGAGCAATCACAGTTGCTTATGCTAGTCATATCTGCATGTCTGCCACACTCCACAGCTGGTTCCAAGCACTGGTTAACCAACACACTTCTTTGAAAGCTCTATGTTGGAGAGCACATTATTTGCCCAGAGAAACACAGGTGGAGAAAGAAAAAAAACTCAGATCTCTTGGATCTTTTGTTATCTTAATATTTACCTTTTCATCCTTTTCACAGGTAGATAATTTGAGTTCCCTTCCACTGTTCACCTTTCAAGTCCTCATAAATTTCTGCTATTTCTCCCTTTGACATCTGAAACAAGCTGGCTTTACAAGAGACCCAAAGTGTCTCAAAGAGTGACCCAAACACACCATGCATGTGAGCAGTCAGATGGTGAACTCCTCCAGCTGAGCCAGGACTGCTTCCACGGCCTTTGCCATCAGCCACAGCATGAATTAGCAACATTAACCTTTGGCAATACCCTTGAATTAGGAGTTGTCTCTGCTCTCCTTCCATTCCTTACATACACTAACTCTGGCTTCACTTCCACTTGCTCCTAACAGGCTACAGCTGCTCACAGCCCTTTGTGTCAGCTGTTATTTAGCTGCAGCTGTGAGAAGCTGCCACAGGGCACCACTGGCCCATAACATCCAATTTGCACTTAAACAATAAAATCCATCTTTGCTACAGATGCCCCTCCTCACACTGCTTCATTTTTATGTTTTGTTGTCACTCGATGGAAACTTCACTCAATTTCAATCACTTTATTTTGTTGCAGGTCTATGTGCAAACTTCAATAAAGTTAAGCCCATGCCTGCATGATGTTTATAGCTGAGATTAATTAACAGCTGAGCTAGTGGAGAGGCAAAGATGTGTTCCTTGGCCTCCCTCTGCTCAGCTTTGGGCCAAGGCAGGGGAGCAGGCCTGCTGTCCTGTTGCTGGTCACTCCACTAAGGTGGTCGTGTGTTCTCAGAAGCCCCAACAGAAGGTGGGGATGCTCAAAGGCTGGTAGTTGCGAAGCAGAGGAGGAGAGGTGGGCAGGCTGCCTTACCTTGCCTGGGCGGCAGGCTGCTGGCCCTCCCTTCGCTGTTTTGTCTCCTCCAAGGCTGCTTTTGGTTCCATCGTGTACATGGTAGGTCCTTTTCCGTAGATGTCCAGTTCCACCTTGGGGAAAGCAGCAGGACCTGGTGTCTGTAAGAGAGGCAGGGAGGTTGCTGGGTACACAAGTGTTCTGCTGACAGGCAGGGTACTCAACAAAATGATCACACACTAGCTATGTATCATGCAGTGGATGAAACAAGCACACTAAGGCAAACTGGGCAGATATCCCTGTATAGTAAATAAGTAAAATAATACAAATTGTGTATAAAAATATAAGTAAAGTACAGAGGACAACTGGCAATGCACCAAATCAATACTGCATAGAGAGAACAGAGATTGAAGAAACACATCAGCAGTCAGAACCCAACCATCCTCCAGGCCCACACTTCAGCTGGGAAGCCCTGTTGCAGCTGATGCTGGGAGTCTCAGGTAATTGGGAAAGCTCCTACAAGGCACATCCACCCATAGGTGAGGTCTCAGATTTGGCTACAAGAGGCTCCTGCTTTTATACCCTTAGAAACACAAGGGGCTTTATGCCAGCTCTGTCACTGTTTACTCATGGGGCCGTGCAGTTCCTCATCATCTCAGTGTTGGCCGCACCGAGAGCGTTGGCCAGGTGCCCCAGCCTGCCCAAGTGATAAGCTCATAGGACAGCTGCACCCTCATGGTTTCCTGCCTCTTTCTGACCATCAGTCACCATGAACATACACATATGCACTCTGTGAAACGCACTGTGACAAAATCACACTGTGTTGTCTCTCAGTCAGGAGAAGGAATCAACTCTCAGTGAGGTTCCCATCCGTTACACGCTCACAGCCAGATCCAAGCAGAGGAGCTGTATGCACGTAGAGATGGAGATGCAAATGGAGATTAAAAAAATAGTATGAAAGAATATTTTCACAAAATAATGGAAAACAACAACAATTGTCTTCCTGATGTCAACACTCGAGTTTTCTACTGCAATTGAAAATAATCTGAACACAAGAAAAACTCCCTTGGAGCCAAGACTACCCATTTTCTAAGAGCCTTCTGAGCTTTCATAATGGCACAAACAATCCTGACTTCCACAGGAGAAACTCAAAGGTAAGCTTCTGTTTAGCTGGACATTTGTGATGGATGATCTGTGGGAGTATGGGCCTTGAATAGCCCATGAGGGAGGGCATCTCTGCTTTTATAACAGGGACACAGGGCTATGACTTCAGTTTTCCAGAGAAAAAGAATGTTGTGCTTTGATTTGATTAACCCTGCTGTGATTGATGGAAGAAGCCTCAGCATCTGTGTTTCAGGCAGCTTGCTTGCACAAGTCACACAGTGTTTATGGTGAAGATTTCACGTGCCACACGCCTGACAAATTACTTTGCCCTTTTAAATAGAGAAAAAATGCGTTTCACATGGTATCTGCAAACTGTGAACAGCACTAATAAGAAGAGGACTTGATCTTACAAAGTGCTGTGCTTATTCAGCCCTGCAGATAGAAGAGATCCTTCAAGTCTGTGCCGTGGGCTTCAGGTGTTAGTTAGGCCATAGTGCCTGCCCATCACAAATCCATGGATCCTGCTGACAATTCATTTTAAACTACGGTACAGTTCCCTCAGCAGATGCAGCATCAATACCTCCAGATGTTTGTATAGACTAGTGCCAGTTTGCTTAGCCACTGCACTCACACAAAGCAGCAAGTCCACTGTCTGCAAGGAAAATGATTCATATCCCCATGAGGGTGCCCGAGCACAGTCACTGTATCTCACAAGCCAGATTCCACCAGAGCTGAGAATCATGAGCCTGCTATTTTGATGGCTGCCACCAAATAGTTCAGGACTGCCTTTGCACCTGCATCAGGACTGCCAGAAAACACCCAGTCTGCGGCAGTGCCTAGAATCTACCAGTTGTGGACATGCAGTATCAGTTCACTGCTTCTCACACCCTTTCCCCTGACTGCAAGGGTGAAGGACAGCCTCTACCTGGGTCCCAATACCCTTGGGTAAGGAGCATTCTGGAGGGTAGATTTTGTCTAGTTAAGCCCACCAGCACTTCTGGATCACTGACTACTGCGGCGCTTGAGCCTTTTGGGCATCTCCCCACTGCCCCAGTCCTGCCAGCCCATCTGTGCTAAGGACTTACAATCAACTGAGGGAAGCAGAGTAATGAGGACGTATTTAATGAAATGCTCAGTACTACTAAGGCCATAAATGACAGAATCACAGAATACCTCCCTACTGAACACAAGTGCACGTGTCCTGTCTTTCACACAACTGCCTCCTGTGCTCTTCAAGATGCCTTCCTCAGCTTACATGGTTTACCTTTAATGCTTATTTCTATTCAAGGTGGTTTGAATCCTATTAACCCTTAAAGCTCTCACAATGCAATTAGAGAAACCCAAGCTGGATCAAACTATTTTTACAGAAGTCACCTGTTAGAAACATGCATGCCAGGAGGTAAATTGCTCTTTTGTTAGATTTATTCTCAATTCCCTTTATGCAGATGTTGGTTTGGGGCTGCACCTGTGGAGCTATTGGTGACTCCCATCCAATGCAAGTGGGTGTAGTCACTGGCAGCAGATGTCTGCATTCAAGACATGGTGCCATCTGAAGAACAAGCCACATCACATCATGTCATGAAGGCTATCAAGAGGTTTTCAGTGTTTTCCTGGTTAGAGTCTGTAGCAGCAAAGTCACCAGAAACATTGAAGCTGATAGCCACAGCTGCTGGGACGGATCCTCACAGATCAAAGGCTCCTGAGAAAATAGGAAGACAACTGGAAAGAGTGACTTTACTGACAACTAAAACTAGGCCAGAAAGGTACTAAGTTAGTTCTCAGTAAAATTAAAAAGCCAGAGAGAAGATAGAGGCATCACTGTAAAAACTTGGTGCTCTTACATATATGCCCACACCTGCCACCATTTAAGGTTTGAGGCATGATGGATCTCCTGTAGCTATGACACAAGCAGTAGTTACTAACTAACTGCACTAGTTAGCACTGGAACAAGATGCATGCGCAGGTCCTGAAGATGCGGTGGTTGTTGTTGCAGCATGAAGAGGAACCTGAATTTGGTCATGTTTCCTGACACTGGTGAAGAAAACACAATTTACTTTTCCAGTCTTACCCCTACTAACATAACTGGCACTTGAAGGAATCTGTGGTTCATTTTGCCCATTATTTAAGAATTACATCCAGTGCTAAAGGTATGGAACAAAATCACAGAATCTCAGAATCCCAGTCTGGTTTGGGTTGGCTCCTTAATGAAATGTGCCCTCATCAAAATCATGAAATGCAAACAAAAGTCTCAAGGCTCAAAGTTTCACATGAACACGTAAGGAAGGTTATATAATTATAGAATATATATATATATATAATACAGAAAAATATACATAATTAAAATTATCCATAATAATAATAGAAATGCTTATATATCTCTCTTACCATTATAAATCATACAGTCTAAGAGAAATGCTTTTCAGCCCTCTGGGCTCATGACACCTCAGACCATAGGTGCGCACGTGTGTGTGCGCGTGCTGCGGGGGCGGCAGTCGGGTCGGGGGGCTGCAGCATCTGCAGAATGGCTTCCCTACATGTAAAACCTGCACTTGCTGGATATGTGACAGGGCTCACGTCCAGCCCCACAGTCTCACCGCATTGCTTGTTCCAATGAAGAGTGGCCATAGTGGAACATCAGCTGGTTTGCCAGAGGCCCAGGAACAAGAGGCAAAGGCACCAGCAAGGGTCCATGGACCCAGTGCAACTGCAAAGTTCACCAGCCAGAGAAAGACAAAGGCATCGGCTACCTGGAAGATGAAGAGGTACTCAGGTACGCGCTTTCTCCTCCATAAAAAGCAAAAGTACGCTGAGCACCTGCACACAGTTCAGTCACCTTGGTTGTGCTAAAAGCCTGTCCGGGAAGAAAAATCAACACCACAATGATAAGCACTGAATCCTGTGTCCACAGGCTCTGAAATTTAGCAGCTTCATACAAATCACATCATTCTGCTTGATGTCTCATTAGATCATTCAACACTGCACTCCAGTACTATGTAACCTGTTTGCATATATAAGGACTCATGTCCTATGCAGGTGTTTAACTTTATACGGTTGGCAAACAGGGCTGCTTACCACACGACTGAAACCTAGAGATATGGAATTTGAATGTCAGAAATATACTTTTAAGATACACAAACGCTTCCGTTTCATTAAAGAAAAGCTGCTCACATAAAAAGTAATAGTGAGGAAATAAGAACAATTGAAAACCAGAAAAATGGCTGTTGGGTGTCATCTGGTTTACCAAAGTGACCTCTCAAGTGCCAAAAGGTGGGAATGGGGATGGGGGCTGGTCTTTCAGTAGCTGGAAATGCAGTTGCCTTGCTGGAACTGCCTGGATACATGACAGTTGTTGCACTACTAACTTCTTAGGTTGGAGGGGCTGCTGCCCCTATGGAAGGGTGCACCAAGTCCCCCCAGGCAGCTCAGGTGTTGCTTTGCCACAGAGGGGCCCGAGATGGGCTGGTGAGACTGCCCTGGCTGTTCTGTGGTGCAGGGTCTGTGCTGGCTCTGCGTTGTGCTGTGTAGTCACAGGGGTGTTTCACACTGGTTCACTTTCTGACCGTGCCTGTATTGGTTTGGTTCATTATCGTAAAATCATAGAATCCCAGCCTGCTTTGGCTTGCAAGGGACCATAAAGCTCATCCAGTTCCAGCCCCCTGCCACGGGCAGGGACACCTTCCACTAGAGGAGCTTACTCCAAGCCCCATTCTACCTGGCCTTACTGGAAAAGTAAATTGTGTTTTCTTCGCAGTGTCAGGAAACCTGACCAAATTCAGGTTCCTCTTCATGCTGCAACAACAACCACAGCATCTTCAGGACCTGCGCATGCATCTTGTTCCAGTGCTAACTAGTGCGGTTAGTTAGTAACTACTGCTTGAGTCATAGCTATAGAATCATGCCTCAAACTTAGAACAGTGGCAGGCGTGGGCATATATGTAAGAGCACCACATTTTTACAGTGGTGCCTGTAACTGTCTTCTCTCTGGCTTTTTAATGTTACTGAAAACTAACTTAGTACCTTTCTGGCCTAGTTTTAGTTGTCAGTAACGTCACTCTTTCCAGTTGTCTTCCTGTTTTCTCAATAGCCTTTGAGCTGTAAGGATCGGTACCAGCAGCTGTGGCTATCAGCTTCAATGTTTCTAGTGACTTTGCTGCTTCAGACTCTAACCAGGAAAATACTGAAAACCTCTTGAGAGCCTTAATGACATGATGTGATGTGGCTTTTTCCTCAGATGGCACCACGTCTTGAATGCAGACATCTGCTGCCAGTGACTACACCCGCTTGCATTGGATGGGAGTCACCAATAGCTCCACAGGTGCAGCCCCAAACCAACATCTGCATAAAGGTAATTGAGAATAAATCTAACAAAGGAGCAATTTACCTCCATGCATGCATGTTTCTAACAGGTGACTTCTGTAAAAATAGTTTGATCCAGCTTGGGTTGCTCTAATTGCATTGTGAGAGCTTTAAGGGTTAGTAGGATTCAAATCACCTTGACTAGAAATAAGCATTAAAGGTAAACCGTGTAAGCTGAGGAAGGCATCTTGAAGAGCAAAGGAGTCAGTTGTGTGAAAGACAGGACATGTGTACTTGTGTTCAGTAGGGAGGTATTCTGTGATTCTGTCATTTACAGCCTTAATATTACTGCATTTTAAGTTTCTTAAATACGTCCTCATTACTCTGCTTCTCTCAGTTGATTGTAAGTGCTTGGCACAGATGGGCTGGCAGGACTGGGGCAGTGGGGAGATGCCCAAAAGGCTCAAGCGCCGCATTAGTGATCCAGAAGTGCTGGTGGGCCTAACTAGACAAAATCTGCCCTCCAGAATGCTCCTTACCCAAGGGTATTGGCCCAGGTAGAGGCTGTCCTTCACCCTTGCAGTCAGGGGAAAGGGTGTGAGAAGGAGTGAACTGATACTGCATGTCCACAACTGGTAGATTCTAGGCACTGCCGCAGACTGGGTGTTTTCTGGCAGCCTGATGCAGGTGCAAAGGCAGTCCTGAACTATTTGGTGGCAACCATCAAAACAGCAGACTCATGATTCTCAGCTCTGGTGGAATCTGGCTTGTGAGACACAGTGACCGTGCATGGGCACCCTCATGGGGATAAGAATCATTTTCCTTGCAGACACTGGACTTGCTGCTTTGTGTGAGTGCAGTGGCTAAGCAAACTGGCACTAGTCTATAGAAACATCTGGAGGTATTGATGCTGCATCTGCTGAGGGAGCTGTACCATAGTTTAAAATGAATTGTCAGCAGGATCCATGGATTTGTGATGGACAGGCACTATGGCCTAACTAGCACCTGAAGCCCACGGCACAGACTTGAAGGATCTCTTCTATCTGCAGGGCTGAATAAGCACAGCACTTTGTAAGATCAAGTCCTCTTCTTATTAGTGTTGTTGACAGTTTGCAGATACCATGTGAAATGCATTCTTTCTCTGCTTAAAAGGGCAAAGTAATTTGTCAGGCCTGTGGCACAGGAAATCTTCACCATAAACACTGTGTGACTTGTGCAAGCAAGCTGCTTGAAACACAGATGCTGAGGCTTCTTCCATCAGTCACAGTAGGGTTAATCAAATCAAAGCACAACATTCTTTTTCTCTGGAAAACTGAAGTCATAGCCCTGTGTCCCTGTTATAAAAGCAGAGATGCCCTCCCTCATGGGCTATTCAAGGCCCATACTCCCACAGATCATCCATCACAAACGTCCAGCTAAACAGAAGCTTACGTTTGAGTTTCTCCTGTGGAAGTCAGGATTGTTTGTGCCATTATGAAAGCTCAGAAGGCTCTTAGAAAATGGGTAGTCTTGGCTCCAAGGGAGTTTTTTTGTGTTCAGATTATTTTCAATTGCAGTAGAAAACTTGAGTGTCTACATCAGGAGGACAATTTTTGTGGTTTTCCATTATTTTGTGAAAATATTCTTTCATACTATTTTTTTTAATCTCCATTTGCATCTCCATCTCTACGTCCATACAGCTTCTCTACTTGGATTTGGCTGTGAGCGTGTAATGGATGGGAACCTCGCCGAGAGTTGATTCCCTCTCATGACAGAGACATAACACAGTGTGATTTTGTCACAGTGCATTTTGCAGAGTGCACATGTGTATGTTCATGGTGACTGTTTGTCAGAAAGAGGCAGGAAACCATGAGGGTGCAGGTGTTTAAGAGCTTCCCACTTGGGCAGGCTGGGGCACCTGGCCAACGCTCTGGGTGCGGCCAACACTGAGATGATGAGAAACTGCACGGCCCCACGAGTAAACAGTGACAGCTGGCATAAAGCCCCTTGTGTTTCTAAGGGCATAAAAGCAGGAGCCTCTTGTAGCCAAATCTGAGACCTCACCTATGGGTGGATGCGCCTTGTAGGAACTTTCCCAATTACCTGAGACTCCCAGCATCAGCTGCAACAGGGCTTCCCAGCTGAAGTGTGGGCCTGGAGGATGGTTGGGTTCTGACTGCTGATGTGTTTCTTCTTCATCTCTGTTCTCTCTATGCAGTATTGATCTGGTGCATTGCCAGTTGTCCTCTGTACTTTACTTATATTTTTATACACAATTTGTATTATTTTACTTATTTACTATACAGGGATATCTGCCCAGTTGGCTTTAGTGTGCTTGTTTCATCCACTGCATGATACATAGCTAGTGTGTGATCGTTTTGTTGAGTACCCTGCCTGTCAGCAGAACACTTGTGTACCCAGCAACCTCCCTGCCTCTCTTACAGACACCAGGTCCTGCTGCTTTCCACAAGGTGGAGCTGGACATCTACGGAAAAGGACCTACCATGTATGTACACGGTGGAACCAAAAGCAGCATTGGAGGAGACAAAGCAGGGAAGCCAGGGCCAGCAGACTACCGCCCAGGCAAGGTAAGGCAGCCTGCCCACCTCTCCTCCTCTGCTTCGCAACTACCAGCCTTTGAGCATCCCCACCTTCTGTTGGGGCTTCTGAGAGCACACAACCACCTTAGCGCAGTGACCAGCGACAGGACAGCAGGCCTGCTCTCCTGTCTTGGCCCAAAGCTGAGCAGAGGGAGGCCAAGCAACACATCTTTGCCTCTCCACTAGCTCAGCTGTTAATTAATCTCAGCTATAAACATCATGCAGGCATGGGCTTAACTTTATTGATGTTTGCACATAGACCTGCAACAAAATAAAGTGATTGAAATTGAGTGAAGTTTCTGTCAAGTGACAGCAA